GAGAGCAAAGCTTCCAGAAGCAATGCAAACTAGTAAAATCCCCTTTGAAATGTCCTCACCATTTCCAAAGGGGCTGGACACACATTTCCAGTCCCAGGTACAGCACCTAGCCCCTCTGGCAGGACGAGCCTTCAGGACTAGAATTTCAACAAATTTAGCGTAACGCTCTTGCTCAGCATTTAAGTAAAACCTGGACTAAAATCTTTCAGGGTTTCCACACCCCCCAAACACCAATGTCTCCTTGTTTGCAGGTAGCGAGCAAACATCCCTTATTTCTTTAGGGCAAAACCGATCTTCTGTCTGCTGTAAGAGCTCACCCATCAGCAATATTATCCTCTCCCCACCCCAAGGGTAGCATTTTTGGATTTAGCCTGTGCAATGCAAACCTCAGCTGAACAACAAATCTGCCTCTCTGAATCTCCTTTGGAGAAGGAGAAGCAGGAAAGAGAGCAATGGGAAAGGTCCTAAATGACAGGTCCTGGCTTGGGCTGAGGAGCAAATGCTGAGAGGTTTGGGGTCCAAATAATCCTCCTGAAACACCTGGGAGAGCAATGTGATTTGGGATGGGGATTAAGGCTTGGGCAGGTCTATAGGTGGTCACAGGGGTGGTGCACACCGGCAGAGGTTGTAGCAATTCATCAGCGTGTAAAATGTTGGCTGAGTCAGCCCAAATCCTGACCGTGAGATGAGGAGTAGGAAATAACGGGATGCTCCCAGGGGAAGGGTGAGGGTGGGGAGCTGGTGGGACTGGGAGCTGCTATCAGCTGCTCTGCAGACAGCTGAGCAATGTGACACGGGCGATACAGGCTCCCTCCTCCTGTGGTCACACAGGGATCCTCCTGTTCAGACCCGAGGGCAAGTCCCAGAGCAATTATTCTCCGTGTCCTTGGGGCTCGCTCTGAGTGAGACTGCCCTGTAATCAGCAGAGCCTTGATGCAGGGGAAGCCCTGATTTTGAAGCAAAGTCTTGGATGGCCTCCAATACTTTTGCAGAAGTTGGCAAGAGAGGATAAGGCAGTGTCTTTGGCCCCATGGGAGGGCTGCTGTCATCCCGAACAGTGCTCTAGGGGTTCCTGGGAGCAGAGGGAGCCCCCAGGTCACTGTCTTGCAGCCCTGATGCAGCATTTAGCTATGCATCTCTAAATGTGGACCTAGACAGCAGGTCCTTTGGGAGTGTGATTTGATTTAAAGGTGGCTTTGGCCATGCTGTTCTTGCTGGAAGTGCCAGTGCCATGGGAGCTGCTCTCTGCCTCTCTCGTCTTCCCAACTGTGTGTCCAGAAAAGTTAAGAGTTGCAGAGAAAATATAAAAATACATGGCATTTATTTTTTGTACATAACCAAAGTGCTCATAATTAGTGTCTTTAGATGGAAAACCAGACAAGTTTCCTTTCCCCAAAGCAGGAGACTTGGTGCTACACTGTCAGGCTCATAATTTTAAAAAAATGCTCAATGTCCCTCTTTTCCTAGAAAGCACATTTTATAACTAAAAAAATATTTCAAAGGCACATTCTTATCAGGAAGGAATGAAGAAATGCTGCTTTTTCCTTGCAAGCCTCCCTCCAGCACCGCAGAGGTGTTCAGTGGTTGTGGCTGATAACGATCCGACTTGAGAGGAGAATGCAAAACAGAAGAATAATATTTACTTGAAGCTAACTGTAATTTTCACAAACGGTCACCCGAAGAGCCCAAATATCAGCAGAAAAGGGAAGCTGCTGTGTCTCTTTGCTGGAACGCTGCCTTCCCCACATGTAGGGCTGGGGCAATCTTATCTCCACCTGCTGCCTTGATTAATAGAGAAGGGGAACTGCTGTTCTGGCGATAAGAGGGGCCAGAGGCTTCTCTATCAATATGTAAACTTTGTATCAAAAAGGAAGACTGGGAGGCTCTAGGCAGGAGACACCTCTCCCGTAGATGGGTTTTGATTCTGTGTGAGCCAGCAAAAGGCACACCTAGTTTGTGCTGCCTTCTACACAGAGGAGAAAGGGGATGGGATGGAGGTGTGACCCCACTGCTTAATGTTTCCAGTTTGGGTTGAATAACGTCCACCATGAAGGATGATTTCCTGAAGTAGCAACTTTGTAATGTTTGTCCAAACTCCCTGCGCTAGATTATCAAATCCGGAAAGGACCATGTCAGTCAAACATGATATCTTGCCCTCCATGGCAGCCAGCATCTGCATTTGCCCTGTAAGATGGGTTGAACCACCAATAATTCATTAAAAAAATAATACCCAAAGGATGGAGAATCTTCCAAACACCTTGGCAAGCTGTGCCCGTGGTTTGAAATCATCTGGTTCCCCAAGTAGAGCATTGCTGACTTCAAGTCCAGCTCTGCATGCCCCCCCATTGTTAGAGAAGGAATGTCTTTATTTCCAGTGTCTTCGCCCCATGCTGGGAGTCCTGATAATCTCAAAACACCTTTTTTAATCCGCTCTTTGCAAACACTAATATGCTTGTGCTCTTGTGGTTTTTAATTATAAGGTGTTTTTTATAAACCCAGGTGATTCTTGCAGCCTTGCCTGTCTTAGGGGGGAAAAACATGTGGGGAAATTCAAGTGGAGACACTAGAGCAGGAAGCAGTCGCTGAGGATCAGCATCACGAGGAGGATGTGCAGAGCTGTGATGGGATGCTTTAGTGCCTTGGAGACACCAAGGTCTCTTCACTTTCTCCTTCAGCAAGTCCCTGCTCCAGAGCCACCCCCCACCTCTGTCCAACCTTCTTCCCAGCATCCAGTAGGTGTCCAGCATTTTTTCCACATTTTAAAACTCCATCCTCAATGCAGTTCTCCCTTTTTTGGGGTAAGGATTGGGATTGCAGGTCCATGTTCTTTAGGAAGGTGTCTTGGAATTTCCCGTTCTCTCCCCTGCTCTGTTTTAACTTTGTCTTAATTTCCCTAGTTTTTGGGGAAAGCTCTATGGGTTGCATTCCTCTGCCGTGCTCCTTTTTTTCCCCTCTCTGAATGTGAATCTGAGGGAGCTGAGGTGCCTTCATATGCAAAGAAATGCAAACACCTTCAATTAATTGTAGTATACAATAACTGGCAGGAGGTTATACAGCATTTTGTCTTGTTTCTCTGCCTTTCTCCCGGAGGATTATTCAGGGGTGAATATCTCAGTGGTTGTATTTAAAAAAAAAAAAAATTTAAACCCCCACATCTCCTTCAGAGATATTTTTTTCCCATATTCCTGGACAATTTGTCAGCCACAAAACTGTGCATTAAAGGAGGGTCATTCACGCCCTCTGTTAGGATCCTCCTCCCCACAGGCTGCTGGTGTGTTCCCTCCCGGCTGCTTTGATAAATGGGAAGAAAAAAATGGGTGTTTTAGGATATAGGCTTGCAGAAGGGTTTCTTGGGCCCTGAGAAACTCCTCCATTTGCAAAAGAAGGCTGTTTTCATAAGGACCAGTTTGGCTTCCAGCAAGCCCTTCCCCTATGAAGGGGAAGAGTCCAGGGAGGTAAATCTCAGCCTTTGGGGTTGGGAGGACGGGTTTGGCTCCTCCAGCCCCAAGCAAGGGGTGTCTCTGGCTGTCCTGCAGCAGTTCCACTTGTGGTCTCTCCTGATGCCCTCATTGCAGCATTTTCCTTTTTAAAAGATGGTGGTGGAGGAGTTGGGCAGAACCCTGCAGCTCACATGGGACTCACAGAGAATTGGGGTGCCTGACAGGCAGTTAACCAGTCCCAAAGTGCTCTGAGTCCTCTATTCTTCTGCTGTCAGCAGGAGGCTGCAGACCTTGGAGTTGGCCTGGTGCAAGGCAAACTCCTGCCCGGGCACGGTGCCCTGCCTGCCTTTTCGAGCAGTGCTTCTCTGGCTCCCAGCAGACTTGGAAACAGTTAAGATTTCCCTGTGAGACAAGGGGACAGCAAGATGGTCAGGAGGCTGTGGGGGACCTCATCCTCCTCCCAGACCAGCATATTCACCTGCAGGGCTTCTCCTGATGGTCCAGGCCCATCACCATGAACTTGTGGTGTCCTTGACCCCCTCCCAACTGGTTTCAACCCACTGTGCTCAATAAGCGTACAATCATTGATTCCCTCCTCTCCCCAAGAAGTTCCCCTTTATCTCAAGCAGGTCATGATGTTTCTACAGGATCTGGCTGTATTCAGAGTTTACCTGTACGGGACCTGCTCCTCTCTCAGCTGCAGGCACATGAGCACCGGGCTGCTGGAAAACCTCAGCATGGTGTCAAACTGGACTGAGGTTTTCACCTCTGTCTGGCTTCTCAGAGTGGCTTGGAGGAAAGGGGCATCTAGTTCTGCCTGGAAATCAATGGTGAGACTTCCCCTGGGAGAGAGAAACATGTGGTCTGGTCACCAAGCAATGGTCACCATACACTGGCACCAAACAACCCAATAAAGATCTTAATTGTAGGTTTGGCCATGGAAAAGGAGTGTGTAACCAACACCCACCAGACTCTTACCCAATGTGTCCACTGGGAAGGGCTGGACCGAGCAGAAGAAGAGCAGGGAACAGTGGAAAGCCAGCCTAAGGTGGAGCATCCCTCATGCTGGATACTGAGCCCCCCAAGTACCCGACATCCCCAGGGCCACATAGTTTTCCACCCACTGACCTTGTGTTGATGCTGGTTTTCAGTTCCTGCTCCCAAATGCTCATGTCCATGTCGGCTGAAATGTCAAGCCCCAGCCCGCCCTGGAGTTTGATGACCACTTGGAAGCCAGACTGTAGAGGAATGACCTGAGAGATAGAGAAGGCAGAACTTGCTTTGAATACATGCTGCTCTTGGCTGCACAGCTGATAAGAGCAGCTATGCTGGGACTGCCCATCCTAACCCTGCAGCTGGGCTTTTGTAGGAGGAACTCAAGCCATGTGTGTCCCATGGCAGAGCCATTCACTGGGATTGGGCATGGAGGCAGGTCACCTCCCCCATCCAGTACCTGGTGGTGGTCCATCAGCAGAAGGTTCCCTTTGACCACACTTGCGGTCTCTCCACTGCTTAACAGGACCTTGGCCATTAAGTCTGTATATCCCCGGAAGAAGACGATCGGCCGCAATTGAACATCAAAGAAGATGGCAGACATCCCAGCCATGAGTTCTGGCTCCTCTTCTTCTGAGACGTTTTCTCCCAGCATCGACTCCATCCCTTGTGCTTCAATAGTGACCTAAAACACAGAAGTGGAGATGTGCAAGCTGCACAGAGCAAAGCTGGAGAGTCTGTTCCATGCCCCCTAACACTATTTGAGTTGTTTTACCCACACACCTGAGCTGCGCAAAGCTGCTGGCCGTGGCTGAGCAGTGAGAAGTCAGAGACGCTTTTCCTCAGGAAACCACCCTCCAAAAAGAGTAGATCCAGCCCGAAGGTGGAAAGCAGGTCCTGGGTGGCTGAAAGGCAGAGAGACACCCATAAGCATCCTCAGGCAACAACTGGCACATCTCTGTTTGCGAACAAGCTAGTGAATGGTGGTGAACCATAAATGCTCCAAGAACAGGGCGTGAAGGCTGACAAGAAAATTAAGAGTCTGTAGGAGCGATGTGCGAGGCTGGAATCCCAGCAAGCGCATACTCAGTGGCTGGTGCCACCAAGTCATCTCTCAACAGGATGGGGGCAGTTTCTTAAAAGAGCTTATTCAGATTGATTGCAGGAATTGGGAGGTCACTGGGTATGTCTTAAAAAAAAATTGAAAGCTGCCTCAATAGATTGTATGGCCAGTGCTGTAGAGCTGTCCCATCTCTGGCCAGTACGGCTGACCTGCACAGATCTCATACGTTAGCCATTAAATATCTAATAAAGCTAATCTGTTCGGGGGGGAGGCCTCTCTGCACCATCTCCTTCCTTTCTTGCAATAATCAAAGGATTTAACATTGCAATGTTTTTCTTTCAGATGTTGGCTATTTTGCCTCTGCCTTACAAGGCTAGGTGGAGATAATTTGAAGAGGGAAATGAGATCCAAGGGGCCAAGATTTAAGCAGATACTTAGCAAGCATTACTTGTGGCAGTCTCTCTGAAGCTTGATGATTTTTATCTCACTACAAGGATTCTCCTCTTTGAAAAGCTTATTAAAAATACTTGAAGGAACTGAGGAATGGAGCTAAACATCTTGACTTATCAGGAAAAGCACAGAAACTCCCACCTATAATCTACCATTGGTTTTACCTCCAGCTGAAGTTCCTCTTCCAAATTAGCAGGATTTTAGAAAAGGATGTGGCACAGCCTAGCCCTCCTGCTGTAGAAATCTGTGTGGTTGCAGGGGTGTCAGAGAGAGGTGTATATATACCTCAGGTGCCGGAAGGCATGCTCAGAAACTTCACAGTGAGATTTCGGGGCATTTCTATAAAGCTGAGGCCTCTTGTTAAAGCTGCCTTTCCCCCCAGCCCCTCCTTTAGCCATTTGAGGGAACCATGGGGTTGGTGTGCTCCATGGTGTCACCTGTCAGAGGTCCTGAGAAAGATGAAGAGATGCCAGCTTTCGAGAAGAAGTTGTAATTATTTATTCGTGGGTCTCTCATGATGTCTTTTATTATCTTCCTGGAAGCAAGAGAGAAAGGGTAAGTCAGCACCAGGAAGGAAGGGAACATGTCAGTAGTCATTACAGAAGGCTATACAAAGAAGGAAATAGAAATTTCCAAACTATTTCTTTCGGCTGCCCAGAGAATCATAGAATCATAGAATCATTAAGGTTGGAAAAGACCTCAAGGATCATCAAGTCCAACCCACACCACCTAACTCACTAAACCATGTCCCTAAGCACCACATCTACACGTTTCTTGAACACCTCCAGGGATGGTGACTCAACCACCTCCCTGGGTAGCCTGTTCTAATGTCTGACCACTCTTTCAGTGAAGAAATTTTCCCTAATATCCAGCCTAGAAGTGTGAGCAAAAAAGGAAATTAGAAGATGGGGGCTATCCTGGAATTTTCTTCTCCTCTGGTTTACTGGGATAAACCACTTGGATATTTTGGTGCAGCTTTTGCTTAGCTTTCGAAAAATGTTAGTGCTCAGTTCGTTCTGTGCAGATAGGGAGATTAATGCAGTTACAAATTGTGTGCTGCCCTGCAAGCCAGTGCTTTGCCCTCCAAGGACTCTGCTGAAACCATGAGCCTGGGTCCCACTGTTGCAGGGCAGGATGAGGAGGGATGCTGGGTTTCGGCTTGGCTGGGCAGTATCTGCAGTGAGCATCCCTACTCTTTCCTTCCTCCAGCAGTTGGGAATTCCTGTGCATCCGCAATGCCAGCTCCAAGAAGTGATGCTGGCATGCTTTAAAGGCACGCTGGGTCAAAAGTCACAGCAGGAGTGTGGAGGAGGAAAAAAAGTGATGTAGAGTTAGGGGGTGGAAAATGTAACCTTCCCCTCACCTTGCTGGGTGGTGGTCAGCACGCAGGCTGCTCTGGACCTTCAGCAGCAGAAATGTTGCCATCTCAGTCTCCAGCTGGTTGGTTGCCAGCAGGATGTTGATGACATCCATGGGCGAGGGATCATTATCCAGAAGGATTTCTGCAGCGGCCAGGCGACAGGTTTTGTCGTAGCTCTTCTCCTTCTCGTGGAAAATCCTCCTCATTGCTCGTTTCACCTGATGCAATAGGGCCATTAAAATTGTGCTGTTAGGGTGGCAACGTGCAAACAACATCTTCATTTGCACCCCAATGGCTTGGCTTCAAATGGGAAGAGGAGCACCAGAGCCTTGGTGGCTTTGTTTTGTACCTTACTGGAGATGTGCTGAGTGGGGAATCGCCTCAGGGCAGAGATGGCTGCAGCTGCGATGGTGGCAGGACCCTCCTCAGCGTGGTCCAGGAGGGTGGGGATGGTTTCAGGGAGCGCTGCATTCCCCAGGGCCAGCAGGTAAATGACCACCTCAGCCTCCTCCGTGGCATCTCTCAGCCCCCTGAGGATGGTCTTGACCCCATGCTCCACCTCCTGTGTGGGGTTTGCAGGAGGGCAGACGAGAAGGAGAGTGAGGTGAGGGGCAGGAGATGTTCTGGGCATCCCCAGAGGAAGGGGGAATGTCCAAAAAAGCCAAGCATAGGGATTTGCAGAGGACCCACCTGCAGCCTGCACAGCTTCTGCTGGCACAGCTTGCCGACCAGAGAGCCCGTGGCAACTATTCCTGTCTGCCAAATTTCGGGGGCCAGCTGCTTCCCATCCAGCTTGTCCTGGGCACCAGGAAAGGGGTATAAGGAAATAGAGAGGGGGAAAAAAACGGGAAAAATTGAAATGAGTATATTTTACTTATTATCCCTAAGTGTTTACCAAAAAATAAGGAAAAACTAGTTCTTACTTGGAAGGAGGAAATGCATAGTTTAATTGGATAAAAATGCTCGTTTTTCACAGTGGCTTTTAATTAAGCTTTTATTATCTGTAATGCACTGATATAAAGCACTTTCTGCTGAATGCTTCTTCTCTGAGGAGCATCTACTCCCATCACCAGTGTCCCATTAAAAGCACATAAAATAATCACATAAGCAGGAAGATGTATTTCTACAGAGATATATCTTCCTTTTTCAGGAAAATACACTTACTATTCCCAAACTGCCTGAAATGGGGTGAGGATCCATCCCAGACACAGGACCCTCAGGGAGGGAGAAAAATATCTGTACTTACTAACACCAGGCGGAGAAGCTCTCCTGAAGGCCGGGGAGAGAAAGCTGCCGCGTAGAGAAACTTCTCCAGCAGGGACTTGGGCTCCTTGCTGAAATCCAGAAAATCTGAGAGAGCTGCCAGGGATGCCACTGACTGCCCGGCCACCGCCGCCTCCACGACAAAGGGGCTGGAGAGGAGAGAGGTCATCAGAGGCAGAAAATTTTGCAAATTTTGGCAAGACAGCCCCTGGGAGTCTCACAGCATCTCCTCGGGCGCTCTCCTCAGCAGCTCCAGGACGTCTCTCTTCTTGGTGCTGCGCAGCATCTGGACGAATTGCTGGAACTGCCATGTGGTCGCCACCTTCGAGGTGTCCGTTTTGACTCTCTGGCTGTCGAAAGCCTTTAGGTAGGCTCTCAGCTGCAAAGATGAGGTTTGTTAGGTGGAATTTAACCTCTTTTACCCCAATCCTGAATCATAGAATGGTTTGGGTTGGGAGGGACCTTAAAGTTCATCTAGTTCCAACCTCCTGCCATGGACAGGGACATCTCCCACTAGCCCAGGTTGCTCAAAGCCTCATCCAGCCTGGCCTTGAACCCCTCCAGGGATGGGGCATCCACAGCTTCTCTGGGCAACCTGTGCCAGTGTCTCACTACCATCACAGTAAAGACTTTCTTTCTAATATCTAGTCTAAATGTGCCCTCTTACATTTCAGGAGAGGTGACAGGTCAGGGTGCTCATCCTGCCTTGACAGCAGTAACCAGCCCCTCCAAATGCACCACTGTGGTTTATCCCCTAATCCTCCAATTTTCTCCTGCCCACCCAGGTGCCCAGATTGGGGCAGAGCATCACTGACCGATGGGCAGTGGGTGCAGACCCTCTTGAAGGGCAGGCTGGCCATGCCCAGGGGCTGGTGCCGTCCCTCCATGCCAGCCAGCGCATCCTCGAGGCTTTGTCCAGCCACTTCTGCTGGGCCAGGCATGGGAGGAGACACGAGCTGGAGATGCTGCCTGTGGAGGGAGAAGAAACCATTGGGAAGCACTTCATCATTTACACCCTCCCTGGTTCAGGGGCTGGTTGGGTTTGTGTAGGTTTGGAGAAGGAGGAGATGTGGAGGAAAGCTGGCAAAGGGTGCTTGGTATTCTCCTCGTGCCATGCCCAACTGCTTTACCAGGCTGTGCCAGGAGAGCAGTGAATGCTTTAGCTCCAGCAGATGCATGTTCATCTCATGCTGGGATACCCGGTTCAGGCAGTGGTAAGGGGGCATTGCTCACCTTGAAATGATTTTGACACCGGTGGTGGACCTCAGGGCTGGAGACAGCACATGGCTTTCCTCTGCCAGCACCGATTGGAGGAGGTTGTCTTTCACCATGTACTGGCTTCTGCTAGTGGACTGCCACTGGACTCCAAAAATCTGTAAAAAGAGAAAGCAAGGAGGAATGACGCAACCTTTTATCTCCTCCCCTTTCCCCAGGAGATTTCTCTACTTTCTATTAGCAGCAAAAGAGCTTTCTAGTCCACAAGGTCACCTGCTTTCCCTGCAAAACATATGAAAGCAAAATCCAGAAGAGCCCAGCCTCTTCCCAGACATGGGAGAAGGCAGCACCAGGTGAGGACCATGGTATGGTGATGATCTTGCCTGTGACTGATGTGGGGAGATGGACTGGTGACACCTTGGGGACTGTCTCTTTCATTACAACATGGTGTCACTCTGGTTCAGCCACAGCAGAAAAGGGCAGGAGGGGGAGGAGGAGATGCCCCTGCCTGGTGTAGGTGATGCCTGGAGATTGCAAACTGGAAATAGATTCTTCCCAAAGCATCGCCTTTCTTTCAAGCCCATTCAATGGTCCTAGCTCCGTAGCTGCCCCAGCACAGCTACATGGCGTGGGAAGAGGTATGGCCCTCAGTGCCAACCCCCACCTCATCCTGACGAGCATCAGCAAGGACATTCTCTGAGTGAATGAGAAAGCTGAGCAACAGCAGTGTCCGCTGAGTACATGCCCAAAACTGTTTAACTTCCTCGTTGTGTTGAGTGGTGGCCTTGGGGAAGCTCTCAGAATTTTTTTTCCTTCTGAAAGAAATGATGCACTTGCTGGACTTCACCTCTGCCTCGTGTCTTGGCCCCGGCAAGGGGAATGTCAGTCATGCCTGGAGATGTTATCGGAGCAGCTGGGCTTGCATGTGGCAGGTCTTGCGGAAGCGGGAAGAACTGAACCATGTGCAAGATGTGGTTTTTGACAGGCAACAGCATTAGCAATAATAATATCATCACTATTTTAACAGAGAATTGTTTTATCCATAGGCTTTGCCTTTTACAGAGCTGGCCAGCATCATTATTTTGCTGCCACAGCTACGGATATGAGCAAGGACCAGAGAGCTGCCTCAATCCAGACAGCAGCCTTGTGGGAAAACCCTATTGCCAAAAATATGCTATGCAGGGTTTGGTACTTTCTTGGATAAGTTTGCCATGATTCATATCCCAAAAATTATTATATGAACACTCAGAGTCTGACTGCCTGGTGTCAAGACCCCTGCCAAAGCCCATGGGCTCTCTGTGCAGCGATGTCCATTTTTATATTTAATTCAGTACTATATGTGTATTAGAAAGCCCCCTCAACTTTAATCATGGCAGGTATAACTGTAATAAGACCACAGGGTTTCATCTATTTACGTCAGGGCTGAACACCGGCTACTGCTTTAAATGAAACAAGAAGCAGCTTTTGGTCGTGTCCCCTGTCAACCTAACCCCAATCCAATGGGTCTGAGATCTAGAAAACATTTCTGTATCTCCACCTTCCCAAGCAGGATTAGCTGACAGGTCAGAAATGATAACAAGGATGGGGATGGGATGACCCAGGACATCTTTTCTGCTCCAACCCGTCTCAAATGTTCCTCTTGAGGCGTGTTGGTGTTTCCCACTTTGGGTATGGGTCTAAGAGCTGGAGCCCCACCCCAAGCTAGTGCCGAAGGCTAAAGCCAGCTGGGAGTGGGACTCACAGCCCACCTGTAGGAAGATTTTGGGGACAACCCTGATGGAGCCCACCACCGCGAGAGTAATGGACTTGCTTTGTTCACAGAGGTGAATCCAGACTCAGGCTTTGTGCAGCTGAAGAGATCTTTTGTCTTTGTTATGGAGTGGTTGGACACAGTGTATGTGACTTGGCAGCTCCCAGAGACATCCTCCTGAAACACAAATGTGAGTGACCATGGTTAAGGGTGATCAGCTTTGATCAAGCCTGAATAAAATAATCTGTGTAGAGGACAGATGCAAAGCACAAACTAATAAACAAAAAAATAACTGAAAAGCTAGAAACTGGGCCATGTTTGGGGGTGTTGGATAGCCCCAAGTCCATCTGGGCAGGAAATTGGCTTTTGCAAATTTAGGTTAGCACAAGCAAGCAGCACCTTTGTGTCTGCATGTTGGGCTTTGAGGTTATTTCATGTTGTTCACAGGTCACTCCAGCACCAGTTGAGCTCTGGGAGGGAGGGATTTCCCTGCTGGATTGAAGCAAATCCCACTTGGCAGAGATACCTGTAGAGTTTTTTTTCCTCCAATTTTCCTACTTTTTTGGGAAAGACAATGACTTTGTTAAGTGTGCCCATTCCTGAAAACCACGTACAGATAATTTCATTTTAAATCTTCTGTCTTTCCAACAGCCATCCTTGCTCATAGGACAGGGGCAGCTGGATCAGCAAAGCCCGTGATGCTTTTCCTGAATTGTGCCTCTGCTGAAGCACCCGGGCTGGCTGTGCTTTGGGGCATGGTCCCTGGATTTTGGGCAGGATCTGGCCCTGGCTCTGCACCTACCTCCACTGTGGTGCCAGCGTGGGGCTGGAGCTGGAGCAGGCTGACAATGCCTCGCTTGAAGTTGGAGATCAGGATGCTTTCTGCTTCATCCCCATACAAGGCTTTGACCTAGGAGGGCAAGAGATGGGAGCTGCGTGTGAGGATGGTTCTGGGGTCTTTGCTGCCTTCCCTGCTGAAAGGCATCCCCCTCCAACCTAAGCAACACCCTGTAAATACCCAAAGAATTTTCTCAAGGACGATCTTATCCCTCAACAGCATGGGCTTTGTGGATGCATGCCCACAATTTTTCCTGTTTTTTTCTCCCGATGATTTTCCCAAGCCTTAGAGAAGGTCAGAAAGGAGCTCACACTGCCCAGTTAAGACCGAGGCCCTTTTCATGCAGGATGTTGTGGCTCCAGCTGAGCCTGCAGACCCTTTGGAGGATGGGGCTGCATCTAGGGTCCCACTGCACCCTGCATGAGACCTGCATTTGTGACCCTGTCCGGTTCCTGGTGTTCTGATACGAAATCAGAGGTGGAACAAGAGTTTGTATGGGCTTTGTAACCTCAAAAATTTGGGATGTGGGCAGGAGTGCTCTACAAAGGGCAGGAGAAAGTCCAGGTGGTGTCCATCTGACCTTCCCACTGCTCCAGGAGATGAACATGGGCTGCTGGAGCTCTGCCTGTGCCTCCTGGCTCAGGGCAATCTCTGCAGGAGGGCCTCCAGTGCTGTCCTGGCTCCTTTTCTCTTCTGGCTCCTGTTGGGCTTTCAGGTTTTGGATCTACAATAGATAGCAGAAGAGGACATAAAGCAGTGACCAAGCATGTCTGCTCTGAAGTTGCATCATTTTTTCAGGTGGCTTGGGGTAGAAAGGGAAGGGGCTAGAGAAAGAGAGCATTGCTGCTCCCAGGAGTACCCAGCTGCCATGGCTTTCCTACCTCACACACCTGCACCTGGAGCAGCTCTTCCCCGCCTCCATCCCTCCAGAGCTGATGAAGCTGGACCAATGCCTCAGCCTGCAACCAGGCTCCTGGCATGGACGTGTGGTCCAGCTGGACATTCAGGGTATAGCGGTACTGATACAGGGTCCCAGGCTGGAAGGAAAGCGGCTGCAGGTTCCCTAAGGAAAGATGTTGAATGTTTGTGGTTGCAGACCTCAGTCCTTCTGCTCACTGCAGCCAGCATTCTCCGTTCCAAAGAGGACCTGGGCTGGCAGGGATGCTTGCGACCTGCCTTGCCACCTGGAAGTGTCATTTTTATGTCAAGCAGTAGGTGGAGCTGATGTGTTTGGGGGAGAACAGGGGAAAGTTTTAATGGGAAATTGTTCATGCCTGCATTTTGGATATTTGGGTGTTCACGGGGTGACGGCTGGTTCCTGCCTGCATTTCCAGTCCTGCCTTAGAAACAATGGCCAGGGTGGCAGCCCTGTTGGGGACTTCAGGACTTTTCAAAAGTTCCAGAGGAACACAATTTAATCCTGAAGCAAAGTTTCCTGAGCATGCCCGTGGATGGGAGGGTATCTTGAAGTGTCTTTTCAGCATTGTGCATCAATTAGGACAATGCAACATTTTTATTTAGGGGAGAATAGAGGCCGTATTCCTCATAGCACGTGTTTCCCCTCAGAACTGCCAATTCTTAGTTAAATTGTTGGCTTTGTGATGGGGCAAAAAGAAGTTATCAGGGCAGTTTTAGATCCAAACCCCTTGCTTTAGTCTTATTTATCTAGAATTATTTGGAGTCCCTTTTCCTGTTCATATACAAATGTGACTGTAGGGGGGGAGGGTTGCCTTTGCTGTGACATAATCAATTTCATCTATTTTCTAAAGTCATTTGAAATTCTCCTGCAAATCTAATGTACATGCTGGGCTTCTGAAATATTTTATAGTTCTGCTACTTTTGTTATAATAACAAATGAAAGGAATCGATGGAAATCCAGCTCACTCCCTGGGGCTTTCCTCCATGAGTCAGACTGAGGAGTTTCTATATTTCTACACTGTATACAGTTTAAAAAACTCCAGCTCTCTGGTTTTCCTCACCCCCCAGGGACGTCTTCCACGGTCCAAATAAATTTCCCAATCTCGGAAGATGCTCAGACTGTTTGCAGTACTCTTCCTTCCCTGGTCGGGGAGATGTTGCATCCCCCGGAGCCCCGGAATGCTCTTTGTGTGCAGGGATGAGCATCCCACCTCTCAGGGTATCTGGGCCCCACCGTGTCCCTCAACCCAGGGCAGCCCAAAGTCTCTTACCTTTTGCTGTGGTCACAAAGGAAGAGTAAAACAGGCAAATGTATCCCCAAACTGCCTGTGGATTCATGGTAGATTCTGGGAGCTGGGCAGGAGACAGAGAAGGCAAAGGGGTGGGAGAGGGGCTATACAACAAAAGGGGGCAAGTCTGCAGCGTCAGGCGCTGGGGCCCAACCTCCTCCCTCTCCCCGCCTTACAGACCCGAGGAAAAGGCAAATAATTAAACCTGTGCACCAACCCCCAGCAGCCACCGAAGGTTTGGAAATCGGCTAAGGTTTGCCAAAGAACAGCTCGGGGTGGGGGGAAAGCTGCAAAAAAGAGCTTGCCAGAAGCATTGCAGGGTGGAGAAATTGCCAATTTGCTTTGATAGGGGAGGGGGATGCTCAGAAAGTGGCTCTGTCCCTTGGTGAACCGTCTCTTTCCACCAGAAGGGAAAGGGGAAGAAAATTGTTGCTTTTAAAATAAAAGAGCCAGAAGGGGGAAGGGGGAAAATCTGCTTTTCCGTCCTTTTAGTTAGAGGCTGGGATTTGCAGCCCGGAGGCTCAAGTTACTTAAAGGGCCAGGCTGGGGGGGATGGGGAGAGCCTGCCGATGGGTTGGGGGGTAACCGTGTTCTCGGTCCAAAAACAGCATGGGAAGGGGTTTGGGAGACGGGTGCCTTGCTGGTTGTGCTCCATGCAGCCTTGGCCCACAAACCACGCTTTATTTTATTTTATTTTATTTTCTGTGCATGAGCTCTCTGATTTGCTCAGTTTAATTGGTTTCTAAAGGTACTAGAGACTGCGAAGGGCCAAAGTCCCTCCAAAGTGGTGACGGAGTGGCTTGTGAAGTCTTTTGCCAAAAAGAGTGGGGAGAGCAGGGCACATCGTGCCCTTCTTGTGCAGGCAAAAATGTCATTATGGAAGCAATCTGTGTATTGCAGTAGGACCAAAACCCAACAGGTTTGGTGTTACGGCATTTTCAAGGGCACATATTCCAGCTCTGTGTCACCACTGCGCTTTTGGGCCACTACAGTGACTGGAAAATCAGGGTAGGTCCCACTGTGAGCTCCCTGGGGAAAGTCCAGCTACAGGTTTCCCATATGTGGTGTCTGCACTTGGTCCTCTGATGGTCTTTATGGACGAATATCCCCTGTTTAAATTGAAGCTTTTTTTTTCCTCTTTATTATTGTCTTTCTTTGAGTGATGATCATTAGGACTGCTCAAGATGTACCCTATGGGGTGTGACACTGTTAAGTTGGAAGGGTCTGCTTGTGTTGACTTCTCCTCCTGAGATGTACAGACCTGGTGAACTTCTGCTCTGCTAGGGTGCACAGAGAGCGCAAAGCACCCTGGGGATGGATGGAAGTCCTGCTCAGCACAGAAAGCTTTAGCCCTTTAGCCAGGGTGGGGAAAAAATTAAATATTTCAAAGAGCAAAGCAGCTGTTGAGGGTCTAAGTCCCCAAAATAAGGTCCCAGAGTGTTTGATGGTTGCAGCTAAACACACTACCTGGAGAGGAAAGGCAAACAGAAAGAGCTTGGGAAAAGACCCTGCTGATACGGAGGCTTCAGACTGGGGCAGAACTTTGGCAGGTTTGTTTAGTTAGACCTGGCTGTTGCGTCCCTCCAGGATCTGGGTGTGGGAAGCCGACAAGCTGTGACCTGCATTCCTGGAGGCAGCTCTGGACTGCCGATTTCTACCCACTGGGAAGTCAGAGAGGCAAACCCATGTGATAATCACTCGGCATAGTTTTCCCAGTGGTCCCAAGGAAAGGGAGTGCATCCACTGCCCCACAGCTAAATCTGGGTGGGAGGAATCCTCCTCCCAGCCTGTGCTACTGGGGAGGAGATGCTGAGCTCCTGCTTAAAATCTGCATGGGAGGTGTCTCGCTGTCATTTCTTGATCTCCTCTGTTACAATCTCATCCTTATGACAAGATAGCAATGGGCAGGGGAACTAGTCCTGTAGCTGGAAAGTTACCAGGGGAAGGATTTATCTCTAGATTCCTAAATCAGGGCTCTAGACTGAGCCAACCATCCCAGATCCTTCTAAAAGCAGCAGAAAGAGAGAGGTGTTTTTGGAGGGTGCTACATGCCGCTTGTCTTAGGCATTGCCTTACTGTGGCGTTAATCTCCCTCTGATGGTATTTAAACTCCATCAGTTATGCAGGAAATTTAAGACCTTGCTCAGACTTTGATGTGTAGCTTTGAACTGAATCCTGCTTTCTGACATGTGGCTTTGCCAGTCACTGCGACAATTTCTCTGCCCAGAGAGCAAACTCCCCTGGGTATGTTAGCACAGGAGGGGAGGCTGGGATGCACAGTGGATTTCAGTGCCTGGTTTATTCTCCTCTGGATGTAGTGCTTGCTATCACTGCATGGCTACCCATACCCCATGCTTTCATCCACGTACTGCTCAAGTGACGGGATAAACGTCAGTGAGATTTGACTCCATCCCCCAACTGAACCAAAAGAAGTTGAAATAAAGCGTTTGTGCAAGATTAACTGCACCAGCATCCCCTGACACAAAGTTGAAACAGATCACAGAATTTTCCCAAACCCATCACGGGCTGTCGTGCTCTTGGAAAGACGCCATAGGAAGCTTTGCAAAACTATGGACAGATGCAGTTTTAAAAATGGCACTGCTGAAATCCTGAGTGCTTCTCCAGTCTCTCACTCATCACCCAAGGGAAAGGCAATCTCCCATTTCCATCCAGTACAAAACCTCTTTTAATAAATTAAATTAATGTAGTGTGGTCAAGGAAACCTCTCTGTCATTTCACTTTATTTGGACACTATACTGCTAATTCTAGGTTCTCTGTAAATGACCTGGCAGCACACTTTACGGACTGAATTGGGATGCCAAGCCTCCCAACCTGGTCCCCAGCCCTTGTCCTCCAGGTGGTCTTCACCCTGTTGGCCGTGGGGGAGCCTGGCTGCAGGACCTGACACAGCAGCTCTGAAATGTGTTGGCAGGAGAGTGGAGCAGAAAGGGTCAGCGTCACCAGGTCACTGTGCCCCAGGGTCAGAGAGGCACGTGGGGACCTCGCCACCCACGTGTGACATCAGGGTGGACTTTGGCAAAGGGCGGTCAGCCTGCCCAGCAGATGGACTTGCCGAGATGAAAGCGGGATGGAGGCAACGGGGACTGCTGCATCAAAGCCCATTGACTGCAAGCCCCAGTGTGGGGGTGTTTTCAGGGTATTTGCATGTGCAGATTCTCATCAACAATATCTGGTGGAAATAATGAGACCCAGACACACCTTACCCAGGGCAACACCAGTACCAGTGGGCATGCTCTAGGCTTGGAAGCTGCTGTACTGGGGTCTGAACTGGGGATGCCGCTACACCATCTCAGGGTTCTCCCAGCACAGATCTTGGCTGTCTGGGAGTTTCCAGTTCTCTTTCAAGTATCTGATCACCCTGGGGCAGATGGGAGGGTGGAAGGGAAGACTCCCTAAGGGCTCTGTTCCTTTGACATTTTTTGCACTTGATCTTTAGTTATGCACCCACTCCAGGCTCTTATTACTCAGGAGGTTTTTAGGAAAGACCTGGAAGCAAGTAGGGAAAAAAAAAACAAAACCACAAAACACTGATAACATATGCAGATAGCCCAAAGGGAAGCAGGAGATAACAAAGTGTATGTAACAGGCCCCAGGGGTAAATCTTTAGAGGGTGACTCAGTGGAAAAGAGCAAAGAGCAAAGGATGGAGGCAGCACCTCCAGAGCAGGAAATGTCATCCTCCCAGGGACACTGAGGCTGCTGCTAACCATCGCCCAGCATATCATCTCAGCAGCAAGGATGATTCGCCATGGAGCAAAATGCCGAGGGAATCAGGGGATGCTCCATACAAAGTCATAAGGATGCTTCTGCTGGAAGACATTCTACAACGCAAGGAAAACCAGGGGAAATTCTTCTTCTCTGCTAAACGTTGCAGATGACCTGATATAATGACCCATAGTGTCTTTAAATCCTATTTGGTGCCACCAGCAGCTTGTGAAAGTGGGTCTTGCTGCCTGCCTGTCACAGCCCCCTCAGCTCCAGCACTTTTCCTCACCACAAGCTGCTGCTGCTGGAAGGGGAAGGCAGTTTGCCCTCCGCTGAGTGTTGTGCCATGCATTACTCCTCATTTGCAGAGATCTCTCCTTCCAGCTTCCACTGGAGTCCCTTTACTCCTCTCCCATATCCGCTTTTCCATGCCCTGTGGTCCTCCGTGCCTTTGATCTGCAGCCACTGATAAATCCTGGCATCTTTGCCACCGTGCCTCTCTGGGGTGTTGGAGTCAGGACCGTGTCAGCTCAGCTGTGTGCTCATGGGCTCGTGATTCAAGAAGCGGAAAATGCGTCCAACCAGTTCTTGGTTTGGTTCAAGCCTCTTCATTTTGGTCGCCAGAGGCACTGTCTTAGAGTAGTGAAGGCAGGTTTCCAGCACTGTGGGGAAGGGGTTCACAGGGCTCCAGAGCCCATGAGTTTGTACATGACAAAGAGATGCATGTTGCAAGGACTCAAGATTTTGGACAGGAAAGCTCAAAGCTCAGGTTGGGAAGCAGGATTCCCCCATCTGTCCCTTTCGCCCTGAGTGAGGTGCTCTTTTAAACTTCCCTTTTCCCAAGGACGTGCCCAACAACCCTCAAAGTCCTGAAATCACCCCCAAACTCAGGACTTAGAAAAGTGATGGAGCAGCCTCCGACTGAATTTAATTGAGTTTTTTCTCATTTTTGCATGTTCTGTTCCTCTCTTCCCTCCTCAGCATCCTTCACCTGCAAAGCCCCCCATCACGACTCCCACTGCCCCTTTTCCTGCCTTGCCATTTCCCTTTTTGTCATTGTAGCAGTAGAGAAAGTACCGACTCTGCTAACAAGCTCCCTCAGTTCCTCCCCCCAAGAGAGAAAAACTTAAGATGCATGAGCATTTCCCACATAATAGTACTGGTGACACTCAAAAGTCCCCAAAAGCCCTGAGCAGAGAGATTTCCTTTTGTTTCTCACTCTCCTATCTCTGCATGCTGTCACATCCCCAAGCTGGTGTCACATCAGACTTGGGACATGGGGGAGAAGATCTATCTTATGCTCTCCTGTAGATGGGTGAAACCA